GTGCACATCCAGATATGAGGCCTCTTATCATTGATCAATGTGATATTTGTCATCTTGCAAGAAATCTAGATTCCAAAAGTTTAGTTGTTTTTTCAGGTATGACTTAGGAGTTGGCTCTTGTGGTAACTGTGACCTCCATGCCCTTTGCTAAGGACAGAACTACAGAGACTAACCACAGGACTATCAAGGCAACTTTCCACAGATGCTCACACAGATCTCAACCAAGTGCATGGGAATTAATGCCACATCTCACACAAGTGTGTTCTTTGGAAATAGATATAGTTCCAGATCCTGATTTTTTTCATTGCTTAGCATTAAAATCCTGGGAAGATTATTAACTTCTTTTAACCTTAAGTTTATTCATCTGTAAAGTAGATTTAAGAAAGTCTATCAGGTTATGCTGCTTGGCCAAATTATGTGGACACAGCATTTGAAGTGAAAGATACAAAGTGCATAGCGGTTAGTAGGAATTAAAACCCTATTTATTATGTTGTTATTCTAAATATAATTGCTTCACAATTTTGAGTATAATCAGCCTAGAAGTATCCAAGTGGAATAACCAGTAGGCAACGTTAGCAGTTAAAGACAAGAATACATTACGACTAGATAGGACCTTGATAATCAATTGATCCAACTCCTTCATTTAATACACCAAGAATATTAGGATAAGTCAATAACCTTTACAAGGACACCAGCCAGACAGTGTCAGAGTTTTGATGAATTAAGACAGCTTCTCTTATGAATTAAATATGACATTATTGGCTCCAAATGAGTATACTGAAGCATCAAAATTAAGTCCTATCAAGTGAATGACTACTGTATTCTGGCATTTAAGGTAACTATCCTCCCCTCACCTTCTTATATGGTAAGGACGATTAGCTTGTGCATAAAAGCCATATTTCAGCTGATTTCTGAAATCTAAGCTAAAGACTTTGGATCACCAACTAAAGGTTTTAGGAACATTTCTAACAATACCGCATTCATTGTTTTGTAACAACGAATGGGCACTGAAAAACAAAGGAACATAGTAAAGGAAAACTAGGTCCCACAAAAGAAAGAAAAGGCAATGGGAAGACAAGCAGGGAAAAAAGAAAACTTGTAATTTACCAAACAGTCATTCATTATCGAGAATAACAGGGAGGGGAGTTATCTTATTCTTAAGGAAATTCAAATTCTCTTAATTCTGTACCTTGTGTGGAAACCAACAGTCTAATTTTTTCATTTACATTTTCCAATTGTGGAAATAGGAATCTGTTTTGGAGATGGGGATTATGTGAAGAGAAAGAGAAGAGAGTTCACATGGATCACTAAAAATAAGCCCATTCAAACATGGGAAAATCTTTATGACTCTTCCTAATGAGTATTATATATTTCCTTCACTTCTGCTGACTGCAAATACCACAAGGAGAACACTGCAAACACTTTCCCACTAAAAGAAATCAGCCTGATCTTTGCTTATTTATAATATTACCTATTGATTGGGTTTGTACATAAGCTTCAGACAACTCAAACTATTGTGCATATCTTTATTTGAAGATCTCTACAAATATGATTGACATTCTTGTATATTTTAGATGAAGTCTGGCCTGTGATGAAAGGGCTAGAATGAAGTTTTTGATTTCTCTCTCAAGGCTATTATCTATGTGAACCTAATATGTAGCAACAAACAGATAAGATGCTTGGAGAGCATTCAAAGTTACTTATTAGTCAAAATTAAGACTCTTTATAATTGTATAACATCTGATTATTATTAATAATAAAATGAACAGTGACCTTACAAGTGTCCTGCACATTCCTCTTGTCCCATTATAATGTTCTTTCAGCATACCTAATATTTGAAGAATCTCTTCAGTAAAATACTAAGCAGCTGTTCTGTCTGGGAGTAGATACATATCCCAACTACTATTTTACACCCAAACATGTGAACACAAGAAGGATGCATAACCTGATAAGCATTTGATATCTTAGATATGGCACAACTAGGGCTAGAACTTAGCATTTCAAACTCCTGGTTTCAATTCAACCAACTATCAAGTCACATCGTTTTTTCTTGTGTCAAAAGAGTTGATATTATATGTAAAAGAGTTTTTCATTTAACATCGGCCTAGCAGATCTACATTTGAAATTAACTAATTCCCTTTAGGTAAATCCAAAGAAAGTGTTATAGCTATTTAATATCCTGAAAATTTGGAATGGGGGAATTTTCAAGGTTTTCATTACTGGTTGGTAATTATGTTCTCTGCACAGATTCATAATATCTATACTGTAGCTGGCTTTCTAACCTGACTTTATTTTAATTTTGTTTAATTAGAAATGTATAAAATCTATAATTGGGTAAGGCTTCATTTTTTCCCCTGTAGATAAATGTTCAAGTTTTGATAAGATTATGAGAATATTAAACCCCCTCCCAGACACACACATTCTATACACAGCAATAACAACAGCAAAATATTATTAGAAAAATTAAAACAAAAGTGGTTTTACTTTAACAAAGTTCACAGGTATACACAGATACCATGGAATATCTTGGATAACTAATGCATTTTCAAGGCTACCATCACAAATGACATGAAATATCATTTAAAAATATAAACTTGAAAAAAGGAATTTATCCAAATAACTTGTAAACTTGTGCAAATTGACAATTCCTCAACATATACATATAAATGTTAACGAACTATAGATAGATGGTAAATCAAAACCTGTATTTAATAAATGAAGTGTGTGGACAATGGATGTCTGGAAGAAGTGTGAAATCTTTTTTCCTTTAGAGGTTCTGCACCACAGATTCTGAAGACGACAAAGATGTACTGAGTTCAGGAGTAATTTTCTGCTGCTATTCTATTGTTCACAGGATCAAAACACTTTATTCATCATATTAACATTTATCATTATTCTTTAAGAACACTGACCTCAAAATATTTAGCAAGCAAGGTACATTCAATTGAAATGTTGATTGGAAATAGGGAAATGAAACTGTCAGTGATGAAATAGTAAAACTCATTATCACAAAGTTTCATTTTAAATTTCAGAATTAGCTTTATTGCCGCATCAGTAATGATAAACTTGAGTCTTAAATCCACGCTATATAGGTTTTATAAGCATTATTATAACATATGAATCATTATTCAATTAATTTACAGAAAATGTCATTCTACAATTTACATTTTTCCTTGCTCTTAAGAAAATGTACTACATAAGGAAACCCAAACCATATCTCTATAGAGTATGTTCTATCTATTTCACCCTTATTCCTCACTCCACCTTTGTGTATCTTCAAAATATTCACTATTTTCAGATAGGTAAAGTGCTAAAGGAAAACGGCGATTCACTGCCACACCTTTGCATCATTAGGACAATACTGACCTCTAGTGTTCTAGGAGGTAGACAGACTAGGTCAGCACCATGCCTAACTTCCTGTTACTAAAGGACTTTAGATGTGTTTCTAAAGCACCATGAGAACAACTTCACTTAAAAAAAGAAAAAAGGAAGAGGAGGAGGAGAAGCAGGGGTAGATGGGGGAGGAGGAAGAGGGAAAAAAAATCAGATTCTAATCTGTCTCTACCAGGTCTCTGAAATAATTTCTGTACTTATGCCCTTAGAATCCTCCCTTTTGGAGAGGTTGACCGCTTCAGCACTCCTTTAGAATGCAAACTTTAATAAAATTTTTATAAGGCATTGCCATGAACTATAGATTCTGGATCTCTAAAACTTCCAGAAAGAAACACTGGCTCTGCTTTGGACAGCAAATAACATTTGTCTAGTTCTCTTCCTTGAGGTATAACTCTGTGTTGAATATCTCTTTCGTATGGCCCTCTTGAACACAAGAGGTTACGCAATGAAGTAGAGGGACTCTGTAGTGAGTAGTCTTATTACCTTTCTCTCACGGAGATGATTCAGATCACAACAAATAGTGTTAAAAGGTACCAAAACACTCAAACATTTCCGAGGTTCCAGCGGGATTAGCAGATGGGGGGCAAGCCCAGAAATGAAATAAGCCATCTTTGGAAAACACAGATGGCTTAATTGCATTCTTTATCATTTAGGAGTTTCCAGAGCTGGAAAACTTCCTTTGCTCTGCCTAGAGAGGCAGCTGATCAATTGAGCTTAAACCGCTGATGGTTCTACAGATTTATTCAAGTTTGACTGAGTTCTTTAAATACCCAGTGCAGGTGGTGGATCCCCAGGTGTCCAGCCTCCCTATCTATTAAATTAAACGCTCTGCACTTGCCGAGGTTCAAGCTTGGACAGTAGAGTGTACACTTAGTGTGCACTCTTTATGTGTTCTTTGGTACAAAGATTTCGGGGGTGGAGTGTGCATTAAAGCTCTTCCTCCTGTAACGGGGACATCCATTGATCTTGTGGTTTGACTACATTGGGCCATGACTTTCAGGCCAAAACTCCCAATCCTGTTTAACCGATGCCCATTGGTTGCAACATACCTCAACGGGAGCCTTCTGCCTAGCAGAGCTGAGAGCCATGTACAGCAAGGCACTGGGCATACTGCAAACCCCAGGCAGCCGCATTCAGAGATGAGCTGTGGTCACCAAGTGCGGTGACTGGGAGAATCTCTATCCCTGGGAGTTCAGCCCCAGACGGTGCATACAATCTGAACCCGGGGCCTTCTCAGGGAAAAGCCCTGGCTGAGTTCACACAGGCATAGAACACCAAGCTACCTAAGCCTAAGGAAAAAAGAACACGGAGGCTAAGGCAAAGACTCTCCTTTCTCCCTTGAACTTTGAGATTTGGAAGAGAGCAAAAAATCCAGCAGGGATGGATCATCTGAGCTCTGCTAACTTTTGGGTGGTTAGAGTGATGAAACCACACCAATCAGTTTTTTTTTTTTTTGGTTGTTTTTTATGTTTGTTTTGTTTTTTTGTTTTTTTACCTTTTCCTCTGCTCAGAGCAGACACAATTGAACACGCTTGGACAGTTAAGTGTCTTTCCAAATGCTATCTTTTCCCATCTCAACCTACCCACCCTCAGCTCCTGGTACTCACAATTTGTCGCTGTTAATCCTAAATGCCACAAGCCGGAGAACATCAAAGTGAAAACGCTGATCAGCCGTGGTACAGAATCCATTTCCCTCGAGTAAGCGGTCCCTCCCAATCGAATCCAAAATTCGCAGGCGCCCGCCGCGGCTTCTTCTTGCTCTGTGAGTGTCTTTTTCTCCTCTGCACCGCTAACCCCTTCCCACCCACCCCCTTGGAGAGGCACTCGCTCCTTCACTCCATCCCGTGTCCAGACGAACTATCGAACCCGTAGCAGATCTTCTCCGCAGCTGAGGCTGGAGCTACAGTCCCCGCGACTGCCGCTTGCTGTGCTCGCCTGCCTCGCCCGCCTCTTCCTCCTCTCCCCCCTCCTTAAAGATGCAAATCCAAACCCAACTGCAACCACAGACGTCCACTCGGTGGATGCTGGAGCTGGAATCAACACCCGGCCGGCGCACAGCTCCTTATAGGAGCGCAGGGTGCGCGGCACCGCCCCCGACCGGGCCCGCCCTGCGCTCGCGGATCAGAGCGGCCTGGGCCCTTCTGCACTCGACTCTGCGCGATTCTCCTCCCACCACCGGCGATGAGCCCCGAAACCTGCGAGGCGGAGGAAGAAGGGAAAGACGAAGGGGATCTTTCTGTTTCTCTCTCACAATCTCCCCCCTTCCCCCCAGTTTGGGGGTGAGTAAAGGTACTGGAATTTCAACAAGGTTCTCGAGAAACGCTGCGGAGGAGATACTAAAGGAGTTGGAAGAAAAAACGCATTCGCAAGAAGTATTATCCCATGCAAAGCTTCGCAAAGAGCTATCGATGCTTTTCTGCATTTTGCTACACCCCCCCTCCCCCACCCCGGAGAGAAGGCTCGAATAAGGCGATTTTATTTCCCCAGCGTTTATTTTTTTTTTCCTAGTTTGGAAGGCTGATGAGTATTGATGATACAGATGACACAGGTTTAATGTTATGTCTGCTCCCCTGCTTTCCTTTCCGCACCCTGCTCCCCTCTCCCATCCTTTCACCACATAACACATCTACTCTCCTCGCTGCACACGCATAGTTTAGGGCAGGTACTGCATGCAAGGTGGCCCGCGCTTTAGGTTCTGAAGCCCAAGTGGTTCGCTGGCGCCCGAGAGAGAGGGAGGGATAAACTGGGTGTGGTAACGATGAGAATCAAAGTAGGGGTCCTGGCTGGCTCATAAGATACCATATCTGAGGGCTCCGCTGGAAGGATTTAAGAGTAGTTTCAGTCTCTTCCTAGAGGCTCCCTTGAGGTTCTGTCTTTGGCTTCTAGTTTACATCTGGTGACTCTCCTGTTTTACTATAAAACAACTTATTTTGTTTTTATTGGAAGCTGTCAGAAAGCTGTCAAACGCTAACATAATGAGGGACCACAATGATTTCTCTTGTGTGAAGCTTACAATCAAATTGGATAGCATCACTTCGGAGGAAGTTGATTTCTCCCTCCCCCAGTCCTCAGCAGTAGCAAATTCGCAGGCTTATTTTACAAGATACATTCCTGACAATCCTTGGTCTACAGCTGCCAGCTAGCTCACAGCTACAGCAAGTTGAGCTGGGTTTTCAAGCAGCTTCTGCCTGAATCCTGAGGTTACCCTGTGGTTTAGGTTAGAGCTGGACTCACATCATTGGAACACTAAAAGATAGATGATTGACAACTGGATTAGGAACATTGTTATTTTATTAGAGAGAAAAGAACACTGAGGGACCTCTCCCTTATTACCTAAATGACACTTTGTCTTTAAGCTTCTAACTGAAAATAATTATGTTAGTTGCTAAATTCTTGAGCAAGGGGAAGAATTCTCCACAGGCTGTAGTTGTGGGAGAAACACCATGCGAAGAGATGGTGAATCCCAAAGTATCAAAACTGAGATGATCCAAGAAGCTGTCCTGTTGGCAGGGGCCAGAGTGAGGAGGGTGCTGGGTTTCAAAGCCCAGCTGCTTGGGCTTTCTTCTTCTACTAAGGGCCCCAAGAAGCTGCCATGGGATCCCTGGCCTTTGAGGATCTCAGGTTTAAAAGCACCTTAGTGGCTAGTTTATTCATACCAAAGAGTCTAGAAAAAAAATATGAACTAGCTTGATGTGTTATTTAAAACTTAGGTATTTAAAAAAGAAATTATTGCAAATATAATTTATGTCCCTTTTGCATTCTTTTTATCCCTCAGTTTAAGAACACTGCTTTTTAATTCCCTTTTGAATTCTTGTCTGATCCCATTCATACCTAGAAGTGAACACATCTTTTTCATTCCTATGCATCATGTTTTTATACTTTTACCATACATATCTACATTCTTAAACAATATATAGTATTGTTTTTGTATAGCATTGTTTTGATTGTCTTTAACATACATATCTATCTATCTATCTATCTATCTATCTATCTATCTATATATTACATCAAACTGTTTCATTTTTGCATCTCACAATTTACTCATTATGTTTTTGAAATTTGTGCATTTGGAAACATGTACTTCTATTTTTTTTCATTTTAACTTCTGTATTATATTTCATTTTTATGATTATACCACAATTCATTCATTGATTCTTCTGTTTATTAATCTACAGATTATTTCCATTTGTTTTTTTTTTTCTCAGTATAAACTATATAATCTTGTACTATCTCTTAGTTTTTCTCAAATAGGTACTTGGGAGTAAATTTTTTTGATCATAGGAAATGCTTATCTTCAGCTTTAGTATGTATTGCTAGTTTCTCTATAAAATTGTGCTACTAATTCATACTCGTCTCTGCCAACAGCAGTGTGTGAGGTTTCTCTTAGCTCCACATCCTTACCAACACTTTTAAGACCTCTCAGATTACAGATATGGAAATGATACCCAGAGAACACAAGTCTTTAGCCGCTGAGATTAATGTTCTATTATATCATTCCACTTTTTACATTTCTCAAAAAATATTAGTTAAATAAACTATTTCAAAAATTATGGAAGATGTTGGCTTCGTTTTCTAACAGAATGACTTAAAATGACTCTGTATTGGTAAAATATACTTGGATTATATATTAAAAGGCAATCAGGGAAATTTGTTATATGAAGTCTCCAAACTGTACATGTTCTTCAAGTTATTAGTTAAACACTGTAACTCTGCATTTATGGATATCCATATGAAGACCTTGCATATAGTGTATAAGTTGCACCTAATTTAAAGTCCTATTTACAGTTATAGCTGCTTTTTCTCTCTCAAACACACCTGTTCTCAGAGCAACTTTGAGACTTAAACAGCAGACATTTGTCTAAGATTTTAATGTTTCAGTAAGAATACCGCAGCTCTGAATGTGGCAAGGTGCAAGCAATTGTTTCTCATACACGATAGAGTAAATAATTCCATCTTCTGAGGGCATTTTGCCAGCAAGTTTTTATTAGCTATGGAATAGTAATACTATTAAAACTGTTTTCAGCCAGATTGATATGTATGTATTGAAATTCTTTTGTAAATCTTATAGTTTGGTAAATACTCCTTTTGAATAGTAGAATAGAAGCTGAATAATCTCCCTCCCACCATATTCCTTGGTATAGAAGAAAAACTCATAAAAACTCATACTTGCAGAGCGCCTTGTTTCGAAGAGGCTTACAAGTCCTGCATAGATAGAGCACATTGATCGCTAATAGGGAATGGGGAATCTTCACACCCTCTTCATTTTCCCTTGAATATCCCCACTTTTTTCCTCTTACAAGAGTAGAATGGAAAGAATCATTCATTAACTGGAATCTTAGACGTCAAATATTCAACAAGTGGTTTGCCTCATTGATTTTGTAATCTCCTGTAATGCGTAAAGAAGGTATGCTTGCTCATCTCTATTTTCTAGATGGGTCCTAAAAGGAGACGGATTGAAATGTTAAATATCATACAGAAATAATGGCCTCAACCCATATGGCACTTGAAAATGAACACCTCCTGTTCTGTTTCCTTTCTGTTTAGAAAGCTAATACGTAAAATTCACTATGACCTATGAGTATCTGATATGTATAGGAGAAGAGTCTGCATTGGTTACAGTAAGCAACTCTGTTTTGAGTATCAGTACTTTTAGATTTTTCAACTTTACATATTACGATTTTTTGTAAAGATTAAACAAAGACTTCTCTCGCCACCCATGTCTTCAAAATAGAGTTTTTAAAAATACGGATGTAGCAGAAAGTTAATTTATTTCATTTTATTATTTTTCTTTCTAATGCTTATTTTCATTCTTGTTTTGTTTTGTTTTCCCTCTTTATAGCATGTGGCCAGTAATACGCAACACCTGTAAGTATAAGAAATGGGGAAAAAGTTCTGTTCTCATGGAACTAAAAATGATTTAGGAAAATATAATGTAAACACGTTAAAAAATTAAAATAACAAGTTGACGTGTGATTAAGTGCTGCATAGCTCAGATAATAATTACTATAGAAGTTTATAAATTGACAAAGATTGTTTCCTCTGGGAAGGAAAACTTGGAGTTGACATAATGAAGAAGTTCTTTGTCTCTTTGGGTGTAAAGGGATTCGAGGCACTCTGGGCCATAAAGACTGTTAATTAAGTCAGGCTAGGTCAGGTATATTTGCCTTAATAGGAAAGTTAAATCTTAGGATAATGAAGGCAGAAGTCTGCTTGTGCAAAAGAGTGGACTTTTCTATTAGGGCAAATGGGCTTTAGACAAATTATGAGAAAAATTCACTTAGCCTCTCTCCACTACTTCTCTCTCCTAGTCTACCTCAAACTCAATTTCATCACCACAATATTCACCCTTCACAACAAAATGAGTCGTCTGTTCTCATCTACATCCTGCAAATGGAACAACTCTTCAGATATCTTCACCTGGAATGCACATTTCTCAGCTGGTAACATGCCATGCTGTTTACGTGTACTCCTCTTTCTTCTTTCTATGGGCTGCTTCTTCCCAGTTGGCTAATTTGCACTTACCATTCAAGTCCACCTCTCTCTTGAGGTCTCTATTGATTACTGTGTAATGTTTCTGGTCACATGTTTTCTTAACTCTGTGTAGTTTCTCATTTAGTATTCAACTTGGAGTCTTTAGCACTCAATAGGCTTCAAAAAATACTTGATGAATGAATAATGTTAGTTATAAA